CTGGCTGAATATTTTAATATGTATTTTTAACCATATGAGAAATTAAGTTTTTGGGATTGTAAAAAAATTCATAACATATTTTATTACGTGCTGACGCTATTGTAAAAGAAAAATAAGTCTGTGAGTCAAAATATCGGAGCTTCTCATTAAGAGTTTAAAGTTTATTTGTTAAAAAAATTATTAATTTTGAAAAAATTACCATAATATTTTACAATCTAATAAATTAAATTTTTAATTTATATTTTTTTTAGACATTTTGCGTTTACCGCAATACTCAACATCCTAGGAGAACGGTGATAGCTGGTGTGAGATATACAAATGAAATTATATGGGTAATGATTTCTTTTTATACAATTTTGCATTAAATAAAATTTATTTTAGATACAAGTGAAACATGATTAATTGTAGTTTTCAAAGGATCAAAACAATCACAGTGTAAACGTTAATATATTTAAAAAACATGCTATTAAAATAAAAACTTCTTGTCATTAATGACACAAAAACAATATCAATATTATGCAATTATGCATATGAATATGTGAAATCCATCGAGAACTTTTTATGAGTGAATATAGAAATCATATAGTGAACAAAAAATCATTAAAAACAACTACAAAACCTATCAACTAATTTATTTATAAAGCGCTCTTCCCGACGTATTCAACTGTGCTTCTTGGCAAACTTTGCAGAAACGAGTTTTGAGATCCGTACTGAATTTTGTAAACTAGGGTTGAGCAAACTTTTCGCTGTGAGGGCCGCATTGAAAATTGTTCTACCTTTGAAGGGTCGCATATGTACTTAAATAGCAAATTTTTTTAATCCGGGGGAGACATTTTTAAAGTTTGTGGTTTTTTTTATTGGTCATAATGTCTGGTCTGGCTAATGACTTTTTTTGGCGAATTAGGCCTCGCGGGCCGCATAAAATAGCTTCGTGGGCCGTAATTTACCCACCCCTTTGTAAACGAAAGAAAGGTAGTCAGATAAAAACGTGGAAATTTTAAGTTTAACTATTTCACCTATCGTGAGTTGCATTCATCTAATAATTGCAATTTTAGTAACCTTAGCGTGTTTCAATGTTAACAAAATTCACTAGCATTTTTAGGGAAGAATATTATTTCCGGGTATGAACTTGAAGTAGAATCATCAAAAACTTCACCTCAATAAAGACAAAATCTTGTAGCATTATAATTAATTTAAGGACTTCCACATATCATATAATTACATAGTAAAAACGTTACACTTGTGGCTATTAATAACATCTAATCACAACAACGGTAAAATATACTAATATATGACATCAAATCATTTTGAAATTCAGAAGCACGAATACTGGGACAACATTAACATGTTAACAAAAACATCTTAACACAGTTGCATTCAAAGTTTCAATAATGACAATATATTTTATTTATTTCAGCAAGGCTTTTTTGAGTTGAATGACATTACCTATCGTTTAGAATGGACGTTACACGCAAGACCTCAATGTTTTCATAATTCTCCTAAAACAAAAGTTGAAAATAGAATGTATCGAGTTTGTCGCGATAGAAATCCATTGTAACATCAACGAAGTTACATATACATAATATGAACAACATATCTTGATATGTATACATTGACGTTCAAATTTTATTTTGAATGAATAAAATATTCTTGCATGAATTTTTGTAGTTTTTTTTTCCTTTTTCATTCAAATTATTCTCCGGTCAAGAAATTTATGGTGTATTTTTATGGCATTTATTTTTAATTGAACATTAGAAAGTTATGATGGGAGGGGCAGAAAAGTCACAAGAATACAAAAATACATTAGACAACGGATGGTAATTTTGAGCCAAGAACTAACACTCGCTTTATACGAAGATTATTGCTGTATAAGTTTGTGAATGGTAGGGTAACTAAATATTTAATTGAAGGAGCTCCCACCTTCCAGACAATTAAATGGTTAAAACTCAAATCTATCGATGATTCGAGTATTTCATCAGGGTTATGAACCAAAGACGTAAAATGGTCTTCCAAAAATTTTGATCAGTCGGAAATATTACTCGTGATGTTTAAAAAATCATCAAAAATACTTTTGTATGCTGTTGCGTTTTTCTTTAGATATAAGAAACAACAAGTAGGAATGTTTATAACGTAATACAAAATAAATGAGAACGTGTTCGGCAATGCAATTAGACAAAGAGAAGTTCGATCGTAAAATGTCGCAAGAAGATGGGCTGTTGTTCATGTGTTGAAGCTATTTATAGTAAGTCGTCACATGCTTAGATTAGGGATGTGCGGTTCAACAATGCTTTAAAAAGAGCGCAATGCAAATATAATGACTGTTAATGAGCGGTGTGGAGATAGTGCGATTGAAAAAGATTCGATGTATTTTAAACACTGCCGTAAGACTAGTTATGGGGATTAGCGTTATTGGATAGTTAAAATATCTTTATTGGCTACTAATTACAGTCACAAGTTTAACTCACTGTTGCATTTGTAGTGTAGACTAGATTATTTAGAAAAGGTGTTACGAAAAAATTAAAAGTTGATACCATGGTATGGTTATATCCATGGTTATATCCATGGTTGATACAGAACATGGTCTAGGTCCTAGACCATGTTCTGTATCCGTATCTCTAGCATCTATCTCCCCTAAACTGATGTCCCACAACAAGGAAGAAACTGCTCTGCCAATGATTTGGAATGATTCGCTATTAAGTTTAAAACAAATTTTAAAACAAATTAGGGGTTAACGTCCTTTTACATTGAATGAAAAAATAAAAAATTGTTTTTTATTTTTACGAAATAATGTCAACTATTCATAACTCAAAGCATCGACTGAGTGTCAAGCAACCAAAATTCGATCAATTTTTGAAATGATTTACATTATTGTTTACTCAAGCCCTGACGTCTTGCGAAAATTTCATAAAAATCTTCGACACGCAAATTTTATTGTTCATCGTTGAAGAACTTACTCTCCGCTAGACAGTTTACGATGTATCTGATCCACTTTTTGTTTGGTAATGTGCTCGTTCAAGTTGATCCAACATTCTGACGTAATGTATTCTAATAATGATATGATAGTTATTTTTCTTATTTGGTCTCCGAAGACCATCAATTGCTATTTTTTTATGGGCAGTTTTTTTGGTTTTGAAAAAATATATAAATAGAAATATATTTAACACTTTATATAGTTGCAATATTTAACTCTATTTTTATATTTTATTGAATTTATTTTTTTCACTTTTTACGAAAATCATTTTTGTAATGGTGCAATTTGACAGGAGTGTGACTCGATCTTATCTGCCGAGTGCCGACCGATACATTCATTTCAGGTTTAGTTGAGTGTCCTTAAATATTTTCGCACGAGATTCTCATCGAACCTCCCAACAGACGAACGAGTTTACGAATTCTTTCAAAATTTATGAATAGGGTACTTACTGTTTCCATATTTTTCAAAAATTTGTCGAATTTTAATATTTCACTGGGCAATTTTTTCGGCAATGGTGCAATAACAAAATAATATTTTTAACTGTTAGTAAAAATATTTAAAAAATAAATTTGAACTAATTAAAATTTAATTTTTGTTAAATTGATTTATTCTATCTTTATAATTTCCAAACAGACTCATTGCATATATTACAATCAGAACAGGACAAAAATTGTAGCTGGTTATAAATTAGATACTTTCATTTTATGGGTACGAAATTAATTACAATGTCATCAATTACATTGTAACCTCAACTAAACAACAAGTCTAACATGAACATTGCATTAAAAACCATCACAACATTACACAACCTTTCCATAACTATATAGCGACACTTTCAACAACAAAACCAGCAACACAGCACCAGCAGATCAACCCAGTTACAGCTCCATACTTATTATTAAACATTTTTTTAGCAAGGCTCATTTATTGTGGACAGTGTTAACTATCGTTTGGAGTTCAAGTGCCCTGCAAATTCCCCAATGACGTATATAAACAGAAGACCATATTTAGTTTGTCACGAAATACGATAAGATATCAATGATATCTCGTCAATGTATCTTGTTGCACCAACAATCATAATTTCATTTCAATTGAATAAAATATTCTCGAACCTTATTTTGTTTTTAATTTTTTTTAGAATTATATATTTATATGTGTGTGTGTGTGTGTGCGTGTGTGTGTTTGGGGCCATTTCTTTTTATTCATGGTATTGAGAGTGTTGCGGTTGCGTTTGATGATGAGAACACCGAACCAGAAGAGCAGTGAGCGGGAAAAGAAAAGAATAGTATTCGTTTGGATAGGCTGGACACGTGTTTCGTCCCTACCGGGGACTCATCAGCAGCCCGAAACCTATCTATTAGTTATCGCAGTTTCTTATAAAGCCCGCACAAATCAACTCCTTATTTCGTGGTGTTTTATTTATTAGTCTTTTTAATCGCTAGAATTTTCAATCCGACAAGAGTCACTCAAAGGATCTAAATCATTAAACGAACACTATCAAATGATGAACAACGATTCGAAGGAATGACAAGAGGGCTGGAACGTTGAAGTTTCATAGGTCGAATGCATCACTGTAGAGTCAGTAGAGTTCAATTGAGGAATAAAATTTAGAAATTGAAATACGAACACCCGCGTACGACATGTCAAAAAATATGTTTATTTGTAGTTGCTTGTACACTTTGGAGTATATGTCTGATGATAAAATGATCCATTCAGCTGCCACACGAACATAAAAATTGTACGTACATAAACAAAAATTGTTTTCCTTCATCATTCGTCCAGTTGTTTTTAAAATAAAATTTGTGTTAAACATACTTTAATATAACATAGCGAAAGAAACCTAATGTCCAGGATGTTGAGAATTAATAAAAGCAAGCGAGGGTTTTACGTTAGTTAATGAAATTTGTCTAAAACACATTTTAATGAAACAACGGTTTGAGCAAGGTAAAAACATTTTTTAAATTGACATTAAAAAGAAATATGCAATAAAATAAATTAGAAGAAAACATTGAAAATAAATTACATCTGATAAAATATTACCGACAGATGTACGTAAAAACGAATGATGAGAAAGCGGCGATATGAACGTATGAGGGAATGTATCTGTGACGTGATTGGTCAGCTGTGGAGGCCTGGTAGGGTAGGAAGTTGTCCACCACGTGAATCACCCCGTTCGTCATTCGCATGTTCGATTGAATGACCTTCACCTTCTGCTCGCCAACGGATATGAAAAAAGCTGGTGGAGCAAATTTGATATTAAAACAATGAAATTGGTATGAGGAGCATTGAAACTAGCATCGCTACTAAACGACAAAAGAATGGTACGAATGTTTAAAATAGCCGACAATTTTAAACTTTCAGCTGTCATCAAATTCAAGAATCTGCACACCACCACACGGCAAAGAATTCTAAAAATAATTCTGTTTAAAAATAAAAGAATAATAGAAACCTAAATAATTTTAAAAAGATAATAACTACAAATTATTTCAACCTCCATTGCTGAATGAGGCGACAACCTGCCCATTGTAAGTGTCGAATGCCATGCTGCTCTGACTTAACTTGGATTCATCTAGGAACACAACCGACTTTATGATATGTCTTGACACCAACTGTTTTATGTGTGTGTTCGTGTGTGTGTGCGTGTGTGTGCGTGCGTGTGTGTGTGTTATGCATAAAAACCAAAATGAAAGGAAGAACAAATCACCGACGTCTCTGAATTTCTTTTTATTTTGTTGACCTTGAAACATTTGGTCGAGATTGGACAAGGCTGTAGCATTGGGAGCCAAAAGTGTGAGCTGATTGGTTGGGTTGTTAAACAAGGTCAACAGACCTGTATCTTGTAGCGTGTTGTACACTTGTCTGCCATTGGTTTGAAAAATTGGGTCGAAAATGCATAATTTTTAATAACTGACAAGGTTTAGTAGTTTGGATTGTAATTGATATTTTTAAAACTGGCAGAGCTAATTTTCGGTAAAGACTTCAATTTGCAAAGTAAATTCTAAGTGCGCGCGCACACAACCAACCTATAGATGGGATATCTCATGAGATACTCGGATATCATGGCCTCAGGTACGCCGAGTATCTTGTCGATCTTGTGTATGAGGCCATTCCTGGCGCAGATGTTTGATTGGACGACGCGAGCTGTCACGTGATCGACTTCAACGAATACATCTGAGGGTTTGGAGATTGACAGAGTTATTTATAGTATCTGGATATATATCTGAAAGTATCAACATCCAAATGTTCACAAGGTTTTTTAGCATTCATTAAGTCGGCAAATGAGTTTAAAATTCTGAACATGTCGAATTTAACTCTGATAGCGTTTCAAAGACAGATGTGCCTCATAGGTCGCTTGAACTCCGGTGTATATCGGACGTCAGTTGAATAGGACGGAAACACACACGGAAACACACACACAACACAACACACAGGCACATTGGTGGTGTGATGTAATTTGAGATCTGTAGAGGGCAAATTAGAATTTCTTTCCATCTGCGCTCTCCTGGCAGGAAAAACTTGGGACTAACATGTTGTAGGCGATGCCATAGTCGTTATCGTCATCATCAATGTTGGTCTTCAGAAAAATTCAACTTTGTTTTGAGTAGTTTTCTAAATTCAGCTAATGATGATTCAGGTTGTCGTAAGTTTTTAGGTGAGCTGTTCCAAAAAACTGAACCTGAATCTGCAAAATTTTTATCAAAAGGTTTGTACATTGCAATTTTGAACGTAGAACGTGTTTAAATCTGCAGACCTTAGGCACTGATGAGACGAAAGGTTTGGTACCTTGATACACTTATCTACTAAGAATTTAGGGGTTAGACCATTTAAGCATTTAAAAATCGTTACTGCCATCTTGAACTTGATTTTCCGTCACGAAGGGCAACCAGTGTAACTTTTTCAAAAGCCGGAAACACGTGAGCAAATATTGAACTTTGAACTTTTACTTTGAGGATTTGGTTTTGTATGATCTGAAGATTAGATAATAATCTGCCGTATGCACACACACGCACGCACACAAACACACACACACTTGAACTTAAACCTTGGCCAATTCGACTGATGGTTGCCTGGTAACCTTCTCTGAGGGTGTTGACCTTGAATGACCCAGTAACAGAGGAAAGGTCAATGACTCCTGGCATCAATGTCATGCTGAATTGCTGTGTGGGTGGGGTTGGTGGAAGTTTGTTGGAGTGGCGGAATTTCAAAGATGATTGAAAAAATAATCATCGTAAATTTAATTTGGTGAAAAAATTTCCAATTGTTGAATGCTTAAACCTGTAGAATTACTTACTGTCAAACTAATCTTATGAACTGTAATATGCGATTATCGTTAAAACCAACAAACCAGTTAACAAGGCAGTTTTCAATCAATGAATGAATAAATCAATCAATCATTCAATCAATCAGTCAGTCAGTCAGTCAATCAGTCAGTCAGTCAGTCAGTCAGTCAGTCAGTCAGTCAGTCAGTCAGTCAGTCAGTCAGTCAGTCAGTCAGTCAGTCAGTCAGTCAGTCAGTCAGTCAGTCAGTCAGTCAGTCAGTCAGTCAGTCAGTCAGTCAGTCAGTCAGTCAGTCAGTCAGTCAGTCAGTCAGTCAGTCAGTCAGTCAGTCAGTCAGTCAGTCAGTCAATCAATCAATCAATCAACCAGACAATTAGACAATTAGTCAATCAATCAATTATTCACTCAATTAGACAACCAATCAATTAACTTGGGCTTTGATACTGGCATCATTACTGTAATCAATGTAATTGAAAATAGCAGCTGTAGGGGCGAACAGCGTGTACTTCCGGTCAGCTGGCACTACGTACTCAGCTCCGCCCACCACTTTCAGTTTGCTCAGTAGGAATTCTGATTGGAGGCTCAAAATAGTCGCTTGGAATTCCCTGATTATTTGAGTTTCAAACTGGTCATCGTCCGTAAATTATTGTATAAAACCTTGATAAACTTTACTGAATAAATTTTA